GGCAGACCCCCTCAGGGGCCTGGGTTGGTGGACAGACCTCCCTGCCAGAGCTGCACCACGGCGTCTGGCATGGGGACCTGGGGTGAGGGCTCCATGCCTTCTAGCCCGATGCTGCCGAGCGTTTAGGGCTGCATGGACCAAAACTTGCTGCAAAGACCAGCTCTGATAACAGCCCTCTGCGTGTAGGTTGAAAGATATTAAAGTATTCCAAGCTGCATTAATTTGACTTCTCATTAAAAATTGCCACTATAGTTGCAGTTTAAGCTGATTCTGAAACATTCGTGCATGCTTTTGTGTGTTTGATCGGTTTTTGGGATTTCTTTTACTTTCACTTTCTTCATGGAACTGGAAGGCAAAACCTTTCCTTCCAACTGAGAAGTCACTTGCTCATGCCATTTTTTGCTTTCCTAAGATACTGCCTAAAAAAATTTGAAAAATGTTGGCAGTAGAATATTTAAAAAAAAACCCTAAAGCCATGGCCCAAAATCCAGACACATTGAGATTCCAGAGAAGGTATCAGTAGGTCAATTTTTGTCCTAAGAAACCCTGGTAATATTCTTTCCTGTTTCTGTGTGGGAAGTACAGAGAAAACCCAAATGTGACTGGCAACTTTAAGACATTTCTTCAAATTTTCTGTATATATGAGTGCCTAATCAAATGTAAATACCCAAACTTTTTCTGCTTCATTTTTCCTTAATACTGTTTCTCTTGGAGCTCACTGCTTACATGCAGTTTTTCTTCTAAAGCTGCACTGTTGCTGAACTAAGCAAACAGCTGTGTCAGATATAAACCCCACGAAGGGTCTAACATGTCTGTGGTTACCCTTCCAAATTTTTACAGAGGAAATATATAATTGAAAAGCTAACTGGTAATTTTAGTTATCCCAGTTGGTTTTTTTCATCTTGTCAGTGGAATTTGGTTTAGTTTATTAGCCAGTGTCTGGCATTTTGTCTTGTTTGTGTTATTTACAGAGAAGGCAATCAGTGTATTTTCTGTACTGTTTCTGGGAAAAAGTAATATTGCTGGTCTCAACCCCCTTTCCCCAAGCCATTGATATAGTCCTGCTGACTGATGTATTGATGCCTATTTGGTAAGTAAATAAAAAAAAAAAATTAAATATGGATTTGGAAAATTTGGGTGTGTGACTCATAGAGTTAATGTATCACCAACTGTAATTGAGAGCGACTCTGTACAGAACTGCTTATTAGAGCAGCAAGATGAGAGACATGCATACAGAAAGATTTTAAAGGTCTCATTTTGTGAGACTTACAGCCGCAGTGCATAGTTGCATTGAGGAGGGATGGGTTTGAAACACTGGGTCCTAATACCTCCTTGGGCTTGAGTAGTAAGTGAGTGGTGAGGGAAATACATCTGGGAGTCCCTTTTCTCCCATCCCTTCTCCTGGCTGTAGGTGTTTGCCTTTACCAGGGAACTGCTAGCTGCTAGCAATCAAAGGTAGGTAGGTAGTGGTCCCTGGCTTTTGTTGTCTGTGAAGAAGCTTGTATGGTGTCTTCACCATCATGGCAAAACCTCATGTCATTCCCTAAAAATGGAAAGGAAGTGCAGTTTTCCTGTATTTGCACAGCCCCTTATACTGCTTAGGGCTGCATCTGCCCCCTAAGCAAATAATTACCAGAAATTATATGCTTGTGTTTGTGTGTCATCAGGCTTTTCCTAGCATTTTGTGACTACCTCTCTTTTGCTTTCCTGTGATTTTGAAGTATAGACCTCTCCTGATAACCCCTGAATGACTGCTATAAATTAAGTGCTGTGGGCATTTGGAGGAGGAGGATTTTGAGGAAAAAAAATTGTGTGGCATGCTGCAAAATGAAGCTGCGTGTTACATTTTTAATGAGAGATTGCGGGCTACAGCACTGTGCATTCATCAAATTCTCCATAGACTGCTAAATATCCTTCCGTTACTCCCACAAACAAGTGTGGAAAGTTGTCTGCTTCTTTACTCCAAGGAACTCTCTCTTCACATTGATTTGCTCTCACAATTGCTCTGTGTCAGTCCTTGAGGTCTACATTGTGAGACCTTCCTTTCTGCACATGTCGTTGCTATTACTGAAATACAGTTTAGTATAAACGCCATTTAGTCAATGCCAGCATTCATTGGAAGCAGTTTAACATTAGCATTTTCTGTGCTTGATACTGCAAAGTGCCAAGCTCCCTGATCCTGATAGCAAAGCATTTAAACTTATACATAAAGCTCTCTGTCAGTGCTCCCATTGATTTCAGTGGAGCCAATCACGCATTTAAACTTCCAGAAGATGCTAAAAAGATTAGCAGGTTGGGGGTGAGAGCACTCTGTTTCTGTAGACTTAATGAATAGGTCAAATTAATCTTTTAAAAAAGCACAACCAAAAAAAACCCCACCCACGATTAAAAAGAGAGTTCATGATCTTTGCTTTCATATCAGTGAGGAATCAGACCAAGTGAGAGCAAGTGTACAGCAAACAGAGAATGCAGAGTCAAGTTTATAGTAACATAATCATCCCAACTGGAAACTCTAAGAAGTTTTCTTTCTCTCTTAAATCACTATTTTTGTAGAAGAACCTTAGCCTACTTATAATTAAGTCTTAAAGCCAGGCAGCCATTTAAGCCTCATAGCTGGTAGTTTGAGGGCTTCATGTGAACGTGTTTTCCTATGTCGACACTAATTTATTTCTGCAAAAAAAGATGAATATTATAAGAAGGCTCTGGTTCCTGTGGGGTTTCTCATGAAGTGCAGACAAAAATAGGGCTGAAATCTAAACTGAAATTGCGAGGCATGGATTCTGAATTGTAGGTTTCTTTGTAAGCAAAATGATCCAGATTCAGACCAGCCTAAAAACACAGATTCTTCATCTGAACTGGATATTGCCACTTTTATCAGTTAAAAACAAATGTGTGAGAAGCATTTGACTTCCAGTAGAGCCTTGGTGATTTCCCTCTATCCTCCAAGCATGTGAAAAAACATGCATACCTTGGAGCTAGCACATGCCAGCAAATAAACGCTGCGCATGCTAACTCTTGTAAACTAACTGGGTATCTGTATGCAAGTGGATGTTTTATGCATGCACATGTTACATAGTGGCAGATTAAGTATTTGGCAGGCACGTTAGGTGCTTATTTTAAAATATTTATTCCTGTGTTTATTTTTCTTTCATATGCTGCTGCAGTAACAAGTTACTTGTACTTAACCAGTGATTTCATATATTCCTCCAAGAGACTAAAACCAGACAGAGTAGATACAAAGAGAAATTATGGTAAGAGGCAAAAAAAAATTCCATTCCCTAAAAAGGGAAAGAAAATGCAGCTTTTCTGTATTTACACAGCCCCTTATACTGCTTAGGGCTGCAGCTACCCCCAAAGTAAGTAGGAAGCATTTATCTGTTACACAAAAATGTACAGTACAAATGGGTTGCTGTGCACAGTGTCTGCAGGTGAGAGGGGGAGCAGATGCAGGGGGATGCTGTAACACACTGACCAAGGAATCAGGTGTTGTCAGAGCTGCTGCCCACTCCTGTCATCTTCCCGGGGGTGTATGGGAGAGGACTTTGAGAACCCTGTAGACCAGATCTGTACCTGCTGTTTGCCTTGGGGGGAGTGGGTGGTGACTGTCCATGCGGATTATTTTTTTCACATAGGGGGAGAATACTTTTGAAAAGGCAATAGGAGAACCCCTAGGAAGCAACCCCAGGGTGGCTTGCTAGATTTGGAGGGTTCAGGCAGGACTTGGGAGGGGAGGGTATGCCTCAAAGGCAAGCAATGTATTTAACATCAGTCTGACTACTGATGTGTCCAAGTTAAGCAAGTGGTTACATATGTGCAGAAACTGAGACAAGATCTGTGGTCAAGTGAAATGAGATTAAAGAAGAAGAAATATACGCTCTGGGGAGTCTAAAGAGGATAGGTGTGATGTGCTGCTGGCTGAAGGACTGACTCTACACAGTCCCTGACAGCTCTTACGACTCTTGCTTGCAGCCTGGCTGCTGAGAATTAGTATCAGGAATGGGATTTGTCTGATATACATTGCCACTAGATTAGGAGGATCATTTTCCAGATCCCCTATGGGATAATGTTTCAGACATGGATGTCCTAGCTTTTTTTTTTTTTTTTTTTTTTTTTTTTTTTTTTTTTGACTTGTTTCTGGCATTGCATTCCAGGTTTCTATGACTCCTGTATCCCGTGTTAGTCTCCTGATCTTGGTTTTGATGTATTAGTAAAATCTCCAGGACCAGGCTTCTGTTTCACTGTGATTTATTTTACTGTTGCCTCCTTTTTCTACATGTTGTTTCTTTGGCAATTTTTTGGCCCCTTCATGCATTTTGAGCTTGTCATCGCATCCTTTCTTTGTTTTTTTTATAGAGGAGGTTATGTTTTAGGCCCTGCTCCTAAAATATCCATCCAGAGAGTAATTTTGAAATAATCCCATTGAGACTGCTGATATGTTTAGATGTAGCTTTACATTTAGCAATTTTTTGGGTCAGCAGATTCATATATGTTAGTTTTACTACTTTGGAGTGTCTTTCTAGTTTTCTTCTTTGAAACCAGAAATGCTTTAGAAGTTTTTGGCTGCAATGTCTTTTTTATGTATTGTTTTAAAACCTAAATTATAAAAATTAAGTTAAAAAGTTTTGATCTGTAAAACAACTAAATATTCCTGCAGCATATTCCTCCCTGTGTAAATTATCTCGTCAGTCAAATTGTCGGTCTGCAGCTATCAGTTCTGGAAGGCAATACTTACCTAATAATCTGTTTTACAACATCTTTCTCTGAAGATTTCTGATAATTTTAAAATTGTGATTAAAAATACTGTAAGACACATGAAGTGACGTTTGTGTGGGTACTGTGGGATATCAAAAGGTTAAATGACTTGCTTAATGAATGAGTGGTGGTCTCAATCTCCTGACCAAGCCCCAGAACAACCCTTCCTTTATGAAGAAGTACTTTTGTCCAGGGATGCAAAAGCCAAGCCTCTGACATTTATTATTCCGATGTGTGCCTATTCCCAGGACACTACATTTCCGTGGATACATCTTATGAGGGTGAGAAAGCAGTGCTGTCCAGCCCTGAACTGTACTCTGAGGAGTGGAGCTGTATCAGACTGATTTATCAGATAGCAACGACTTCAGAGACTTCACCTGATCCCGCCAGGCTCAACCTGTACCTGAGGCAGGAAGGAGAGAGCTTTGATCGTTTGCTGTGGTCAGCCAAGGAGCCTTCAGATAGCTGGCTCATAGCTAGCTTAGACTTAATGAACAGCACAAAGAAATACAAGGTAAGCCCGATTTTAGAAGATGCCACTGGCTTTCTGGTGCACGTGTACAGATTGCTTTTCAAACATTTCTGCTCTGGGTCCTATTCTCGGCTTTAACCTCTAGGGCAGGCAGCCTGTGAGTCAGTCGACCCCTCTGTCCTTAAAATCGGTGAGCAGAGCTGGCTGGAGCCAGGCAGCCGGTGCTCTTCCCAGCAAATGCGTGGTGCAGCTCGCGGGATACAGGACCTCCCAGGTCTTGGGTCCGCAGCTGCGTTCACTTGCTCCTGTCCTCTGTGCCCTTCTGGGGGGAGTCAGAAGCTAGAGGAGAGTATTTCTACCCAAAACGCATCACATCGCATCTCTCACAATAACGCCCTTATGTGAAGTGTGGGATTTTTTGGCCTTGACTCATTATCCTTTAGTGTGCCTTCTGTCCTTGAGGAAGCGCGTTGACTCTGTCTTTAATGCATTCTGCCATGCTCTTCCATCAAAAGCATCTCTCCTGACTGTACGGATGATAAGCCCCTCACATATATTTGTTATCCTGTTTATCCTGTTTAAATGTCCAGGGTGATAATGGAAACGCTGAAACCCTAAAATTTACAGTTTGGTTTATATTGTGCAGATTGTACTGGAAGGTGAAATGGGACAAGATAAATCCGCCAGTATAGCAGTTTTTGAAATTAAAATAACTCCTGGATATTGTATTGGTAAGTACTGTCTGCTCTGCTCCCATATTCTCTGCATAGAAAAAAATGCCTTGTTGGCAGTCTTAAAACTGAACTAAAGGTCTGGGTTTAGAAAAAAGACAATGGCTTTTTCCTTATTGAAAAGTAAGCTGCCATATTTGATACAGATTTTTTTTTAAGCTAAGGTTGCACACACTAATAGTGTTTTTATTCACCCATCTCTGTGATATATATAGACATTTCACATACAATAATTCATTATAAAGCTATTTATTGTTCAAGCAGGAACAAGTGTTATATATTCACAAAACTAGACTGCTGCAAATATTAGACATAACAGCTGCAACTGCATTATTTCTGCTGTCTGCCTGCTCATGGTTCCTTACAGTGGCATCTTGCAGGCTGCAGTCAAAATTGTGTTGATATTTACACTTACTGCTATTTCCTCGTGACATTTGCCAAAAACCGCTAATGAAGTTCAAAAATTTCAGTGGCTAGGAGGCTGGGAGACCTTTGCATTTCTGGGGAGCTCTGGTGGAGTCCAACCGAATTGTCATAATTCTTTGGCTCTGTGAAGGAAACAAAGCAGCCTCATTACTGCTATGAAATACCAGTCCTGCTTTGCTTCTAGCCATCCCTGATTTACAAGTGGAAGTTCTGCTCTGACTATTGAACACTATGAAGTGGTATATTTTAAATCTATTTTGTTTGGTTCTAAATTACAGCAGTCCTATATTGCCAAATAACGAAAAGATAGATCAGACCGAACAGGGTGGAAATGAGAATTTTATCAAAAATGGATCAAAAATTGTAGATAAGTTTGCTTCCATTTATTATAAGCTGTTAAGTGCTGTGTCCAGTTTTATAACTGTAGGTGTTATCTGCACTGCCATATATAAAATGAGGTCAGTGCTTAGCAATAGCCTCTCTTCCAGTTTCTGTAATGAAAATGAGTGCACTGAACTGGTGATGTCTGCAATTGCAGAATGTGACTTTGAAGAAAATCATCTTTGTGGCTTCGTGAACCGCTGGAACCCCAATGTCAACTGGTTTGTTGGTGGAGGCAACATTCGCAATTCTCAGTCTATTCTGCCCAAAGACCACACACTTAACAGTGAACTGGGTAAGTAACAAATGTAAAACAGACGTATAGTGGAAAATTTCAGTCTGTGATCCACATATGACTCTTATACTGCAAATTATAACGTGAGTTCTTTCTTTTCTCCTGGCATTGGGTGGGGCAAGAATGACTTATGTGAAAAAAGGGATTAGAAAAAGATGGGGGGAATTTGCAAAAGTTCACACAAAGTTTCCTGTAAGCTTTATAATAAGGTTGTTGTGCCCTTTGCTAGGCTTCAGAATTACTCAAAATAAGGGTAAAATTTTGGATGGAGAGGGGGAAAATTCATCTGTCTGTGGATTCTAGAAGTATGGGCCACAGTAAGTTTTAAAATCTTGTACCGCTGCTCTGTGTATCTGGCAGGGGTTTTCTTTCCAGTGGCTATTGGGAAAGCTGAGTAGGAAAGCTAAGGGATTGAAACATGTTTGGAGAATCTCAGGTTAAACTGCACAGTTTAGGAGTTTTGTTTCTGTCGGTCAAATGTGGTGCTGTTAATACAGTCCATCGGAGGCAGAATGCTGTAAAGACTTAAAGGACTTTCAGCACTTGCCCTGGATGAAATACTGGTCCTGACCACCTTGTTGAGTGTAGAATGTTTTACATAGTCATAGAGAAGGGCAGGGGGATATCTTAGCCTTTGATGTTGCATTTATCAAAAATGGATCAAAAATTGTAGATAAGTTTGCTTCCATTTATTATAAGCTGTTAAGTGCTGTGTCCAGTTTTATAACTGTAGGTGTTATCTGCACTGCCATATATAAAATGAGGTCAGTGCTTAGCAATAGCCTCTCTTCCAGTTTCTGTAATGAAAATGCACTAGTTGCATGAAGTACCGCAGCAGGGGACAGTCAGGGGATCTGGGTGCTGCAGCACACGGCGCGTCTCAGGGAGCGTGACACTTGTGACAGTGCAAGGAATCACATCATGAAAAGCAGGGCTGATCCTCTTTCCTTAACTCATGCCGCTGTGCCTTTTTATTTATTTCACAATCGTGTGAGTTGAGTACAGAGTGTCAGTCTGGCTCTGCATCGCCCCACAGCACCTAAATACTGGTAAAATTTTCATGGACGTTTAACTCACCACAACTTCAACAGCAGACAGAGGCTCTACCTACTAAATAAAGTACTGCATGTGATAGGAAACGCCGCCAACTGGGAGGGATCTGTTTTCTTGTAGCGGCAGTGTTTCTTATTCACACCAACCCCTCACTGCTGACCATCGACTGAGAAGACCCCAAGAAGCCAAAAGTCACAGAAGAGCCTTCCTTTTGCAAGAACTGTGCTGTACGTACATCAGCCAGGGAGCCCATAATTAAGCTATAAAATGTGGTAAAACTGCATTTTGAGCTAAAATGAAGCCCAGAACTTCTCAGGCAAGTAGTGCTCTAGTGTTACCAGTCCCTTGGCAGTGGGCAGGCTGTAGGAGACCCACAGCCACGCAAGCCCTCCTTGCACTGGAGTGAAGTGAGAAGTGACATCTCCAGGTTTGAGCACATTATTAGCTAATTAACATAAGTGGTGTAGATACAAACCTAATGGCACAGTCTGCAGTGTCCGTGCTGAAGCACCCTCTCAGTTTGACACTTCATTCTGCTCTAAGTTTTCTACTTGTGAAGAACCATTTTTCTGTTCATCAGCTGATACTGTTTGATGCTGTGTTTCTGGGAGTATGGAAGAAGAAAAACTACAGATGCACAGCATATCTATGCACATGGGTGTGTCCTGTAAATTGAGATAGCTCTCCCAAAATCAAAGTCTGAGAACCCGTACTCTTTGAAAATCCTGCAGGTCATACTGGCTGTTGGTGGGGAGGGAGCCTACTCATCTGTAATGCATTTTTCTATTTATTAACATCTCCCAAAAGTCTTTTTAAAAGGATTTTACAAAAAACCCAGTCTATTCAGTAAGGATAAAACATTTAGAAAACAAATCCTAGATAGACCAAGCAGAATTACACAAGCAGTGAAATGTGCAGAATAAAGGTTATTTGCCAAGTAAATGAACTGCTTGTAGTCTCATTCATTTACTTGGATTGCCTTGGAAGTTGCACTTGGAAAAAGACTACTATACTGAGCTGTTGGGAGGCAGGGAATTTAGTTGTAACACATTTTTCCATTTATGAATGGCTCCCAAAATTCAGAGAGTTTATTACTTTCTTTAATATGAAGGTCTCGAATAAAGACTTAAGAAAGAGCTGAGACTGACTGTTTTGGCAGTGTATCTTAGCCAAACAACTTTGGGTTGTACATAGGAGGAAAGGAGTCTTAGAATTACTAAAATTTCCTAGGAGTCAACTAACATTGTCCAGGTCATAGAGATACATGTCTAGTCCCTGCCCATCTCCTGATACTTCTTGTAAGTGGTGTCCTTTAAAGGGTGTCCTTATACCAAGTGTCTTTTATACTTTTAGGTCACTACATGTATGTGGACTCTGTTTACGTCAAACATTTTCAGGAAGTGGCCCAGCTAATCTCACCAAAGACCACAGCCCCAATGACTGGCTGCTTATCTTTTTATTATCAACTTAAGAAGGAGAGTAGCATTGTTTTTACTGTGTACTTGAGAGACACGAGTGGCTTTTATGAAGAGATCTGGAAAACAGACAGTGCACTGAGTGCAGACTGGGCTCTAGCAGAAGTTGACTTCGATGCGCCGTACCCCATGGAGGTAAAGCAATCATTCCTGTACAGTACAGTTAACAACTTCCAGGTTGCATCAGACATCAGTGCCAACTCAGGCCAAGTTGGGAACATGGCAGTGGCTGCACAGTGTCTGAAAGATGGTTATAAGGACGCTGGCTATCTGTCGTTTCCTTTGTCCACTGCATAAGGGTCAAGGAGGAATCACTTCCCATACTCGTGCTTGATTTTCAGCAAAGATGAAGTCAAGGGTGAAGTGCTTGAACAGAATACCTTGAACAGAATACCAGGAGGTTGTAGAGTCCTACTAATGTGAGGTCTTCCAGTTCCTACTAAATAATGTCAATGTTCCCTTAGTCCTGTATTTCTCTGACTTGATGATCCATTTTTGGGAATGCTGAGTATCATAAAATAATGCATGCCTCCCACAGCAGAATAAAAATTAAAAAAAAAAAATTTGAGCTCTATTCTCTACCTTATACAATCCTGCCATTCAGTCTTTCCATGTTTTCACAAAATAGAGTCCAAACTTGGGTCCTAATAGTACAGCAGTCCTTAGATGTGAAAGCCAGCTCTGGTTACTATAACAGTTACTATAATTAATTTCAAGAGTATCAGAAAGAAATGGAATTTTTTTATTCCCTAGTGCTTACTGAAAAAAACCCCAAACCTTAGAAGATTGGAATAAACACTTATATATATATAAACACACACATATATATGTATTAAAAAATATATACACACACATACACATATATCTGTATAAAAATGTGTGTGTATGTATATATATGGTATATATACATACATATAGACATTATGTCTTTATGTAAAATATATATTCTATCTAATACATATATAAATATCTTAGAAGATTGGGATAAACACTGTATATGTATTATATACACATACATACTTACATGTATATAAATATATATAATATCTATTTTATACACATATATGTAACTTTTTTTTATGTATCTACATATACTCTGTCCCTACATATATACACTTCTAATACTAGGATTACAAATAAATCAGCTTTCATTCTACTTGCTTTATCTCCACATAAGGTATTTGTTAATTCACAGTAAGCCCGCAGATTTTCAGAAATTATTAGGGGTAAAGGTAATTTTCATCAGATGTTACATAGTCCTTTTATACTCTGTGAAGTCAGTGACCAAGTCATCCATTTCAATTGTCAGACTTCAAATGGTATGGGAAAGGACATTAGATCTGATAAGGTCTCATAATACTGAATGGTAAGTGAAGTACTCATTCAATAAATAAAAAACAATCTACAAGGGGAAAAACAGTCCTAGCACTATAGATGTAAATTAATTAATGATCACTTAGAGTGTGGCATTACTGTGGTTAGTTCTGTGAAAATATCCTCTCAGTTCTTAGTGGCATTCATAAAACCATCCAGAATGTTGGACACTATCTATACTGGAACAAATAGCAAAACAGAGGATGTCATACCATTTGATGAATGCGCAGGGTACCCCTGTGTTCAGCAGAGTGTGCAACTCCAACCCTCTCAGTTAAAAAAGAATATCCTAGAACTACAAGAGGGAGATGGGTATAATCAAAAGGATGGAGAAGTTATGTTAATGAAATAACAGTTTTCAGCCTGTAAAAAAATGACTGACGTAGAATATGGTAGAGGTTCATAAAAATAACAAATCACACAGAAAAGATTAACTGTTCCCTTCTCATAATTAACAGATAACAGCTTTAAAATAAACCAAAGGGAGGATTTTTTTCCTACCTCACATAATTGTAGGACTCACTTCCACAGCATACTATGGATACCATTACTCTGATCAGTTCAAAAACAGATTAGACAAATTAATGGGAAAGAAAGAATCCATCAGGAATGCAATGTGAGCAAAGAAGAACTGAAAACTAGTTGTCTTCAGTTCTTTCTGTAGGTGACCTCGTTTGGAAACAACACACTGGACTAGATGGGCCTTTATTCTGCTCCAGGAATTTTTATGTAATCCAACGTAGTCATTATTTTAGAGATCACTTTATAGAAATAAGATTAAACCTTGCATATAATTTCTTCAGTTGCTTCAAGAGGGTCTTCCTCTCTGTTTCATCCGGCTAAAGGAGATCACTCAGGATTCTGTCCCAGCTCTCCCAGTTTGGCTACCATCCCTAGGCAAGACATCACAGGCATTGCTTTCACTGAACAGGATCTCACTCTGGAAGCATTTGTCCTTATATCCTTGTTTTGTCCCTGGGGTTGCCTTGTGATTCATGCCTTTTCTCAAAGTTTTCCTGTAACTCAGAGCTTTGATACTTAAGAGAAATTCTAAGACACTTCCTCAAGAGTTATGGACTGTCCTCCACTTACTTGAGGATATGATGTCCCTTGGGAATGGCAAAGTACAAACATTGTTTGATTTTTGTGGTAAACAAAACACAGTGATAGCTTTTCTAGTTCTTAACTAAATACTTTAAAGGAAATCTTTCCTGCCAGCTGATGGCAAGGCATGGGTTTCAGTGTCTGAGGATGTTTAGAGAAAACAGTAAAACTTAATATTGTAACAACAGAGTAATCCACACGGTTTGTTATTAGCTCTTGATCCAGATAGATTCTAGATACAGTAATAATTAGGCAGCTTTGGAGTTATAGTCAATACAGAATGACAACACTGAATACTGGCTTTGCATGGTATCATGACAGTAGCCTTCCTGCATCTTTAAAACTGATGCTTCATAAAGCAGCAGAAGAGCTATATTCCCCTTGATTTTTCCTTGAGCTTGAGTGGGCAAAGATCTGGTGCCGGGGTCAGGCTCTGATTTATATCCCTAGTAAGTGATACAATTTAATTTGTCCCAACACCTGTCTGAGATGCCCTGGAGTCTGTCTAGGACATCTGATCAGAATTTTGTGATATCAAGATGTGTACCAAAATTATTGTTGTGTATATGGCAGATGAACAACAAACGATTATCATTTCCAGGTAATATTTGAAGTGGCTTTCAATAGCGCCAAGGGAGGTTACGTTGCCCTTGATGACATTTCTTTCTCTCCAGTTTACTGCAGCAATCAGACAGGTATGAGTACTTACTGCTATTTACATTCCTTGTTTCCCCCTTTTGCTTTGCCCCTCTGAACCATCTGTCAGTGCTTGCAGTCTTTGGTAATGATGTGCAGATGCTGCCTTCTCAACTGACCAGTGCCATTGGGCTCCTCTTCCTCCTGGTGACAAAATAGCACATAAACACTAATGCAATTCATTTGATCCAGCACCCAGTCCTTAATGCTTCCTCTCCAAAGCCCTTGCCTCAGGGATCTGCAACTGGAGCACTGGACTGAATGCTGTATTTGCATCACCCCAGCTTTTGAACAAATTACCACTTGCAGGCCTGTTGCAGAAGGAGAATGGGATTTCCCCAGGTGTGACAGTATGAGGAAGAAAATGTCCTGGGATTTTCATTATTGCCAATGTAGGGAATATCTTCTTCCATGCCACATGCCCTGAGGTGTTCTTCAGAGCCAAAACATGAGCTTTACCTTCCCGTCTTCAGTCTTCCAGGAGGTATTATTTATCTTAGAGAGTGACGTGTCTCTCAGGATTTTATTGTGTTTTCACAGCAGCAGGAGTCAGCTGAATCCACATGACCTCTGCTGTAGAGGCACTGGGGATGGAGGACTGTCATTTGTGAATGCAGCTTCATCAGTAGCTGTGTACTGGTTGCTTGGGTTTTACTGTAGAACTAAGCAATAGTAAAAAGTAGATTAGTGGTTTCCCACTGAGCCCATCCATTCTTTTGGTCACAAGTTTGAATTTTTGGCTAATGTTTTGAAGTGATCAAGGAAAAAGAATTTTTTGCCCTTTTTCATCTGCTTGGAGTCTCTGCTAGCTTTACCTGCACTGCTCAAGTACCAATAGGAGATAGATTCCAGGTATGTTATTAATCCACGACTCTTGGCTGAGTAAATCTAGTCGTTTCATTAACTCCTCAATGTGTGTTCTGTTTTTGCTTTGTTTTGCAACAAAAATCCTGAGTTGCGTTTGCAGTATGCCATGGATTGGAACTGTGTGCTCATCTGTGTTTTCCATTTTAATTTTCAGATGGCTTATGTGTGTTGAGGTATGGGATAAATTTTATAGCATTGTCTGCCCCAGCCCTGATTTAGTCACATTGTCTTGTCCCAAGTTCAGATCTAATCTGACCAGTAAATTTGATAGGTTCAGCTAGAGCTTTGCCTACTAACTTGATTTTGAAGTTTTGGGGTTTTTTTTCTGTTTGAGAAATGAATGCCAATCATCTGCTTTATATTTTGTTGAACTACAACAAAGCCGGTTCATCCTTTAGACTTATCTCCTATTTTCATCTTCAATTGTTTTGAGTAGAGATGTTAAAAAGCAAGAGATTTTCATTCTCCTTGTAGTCAGTCATAGAAGTGTATATAACAGCATTAAGTTTTTTCCTTATTTTTCTGGAAGTTTTGGTCAACAAAGATCTCAATGTTAGCCAAACGGAGGGAAAAGGTACGAGAGTATTAAACTTGTTCACCCGAGGATGAATCTTTAATGCTACATGGACCTGGTAGTGCTTCAACTGCATTTTCTTTAGCTAGGAAAGCAGCAGGGGGAGGCCAGGGCTGCCTCCTTTTAATCTGTAGGCAGAGAAAGACACACGGGCAGTGCTTAGAACTGGCTTATTTGAGGCTGAAAAGACCACAGGCATCTCTCCAGCACCAAAATTTTGCTTCTCTTGAAGCTGATTGCCTGTGTCCCTGCCCTTGCTGGGAAGCCCCTCTTAGCCTCTGTGCAGAAGGGTTGTGCATGCTGCTGTAGAGTGCTGCTCACAGGGTCCTGACTCCTGACATACCCAAAAATTGCATGATGGCTTTGGGTTGTGCCCTTCCTTCCCCCAGCATCTGGTACAAGTGGCTGATGAGGCTTTTAAAGAAGCAGAAATGTTTTACTTAAAACCACCCACTCATCAAGTGGATTTTTTCAGATTAAAGCAAATCCTGACCCATGAATTCCACATTGCAGGTTAAGAGGGAGCCATCAGCAGGGCTCAGGAGCTTAGCTCAGCTTTTAATCAACTTCAGTGTAAATGGTGCAGCTTGCTTTGCTGCAGCACTAAAAGGAGTGAGGCGTAGCTCCAGAGGTCAGTAGCCATTAGGTGGTACATGAGCTAAAAGCTATTTGACTTACATACTTATGGCATGCATATGCACACACATTATACATAACTACAAAAGGGGTTTTAAAAAAGTGCTCTTTAAAAGAATATTAAATGTTGATGTTAGAATGTTATCTCCTTGGAAACTGAAATGAAAATATGACACCCATGAGTGTGCACACACACTCATTTTGTCCAAATATCTTTTGAATGAAGGAGGAGGAGGATGAAAACAAATGGTCTGAATGTCTCTGTGCATTATGTCCTGAAGGAGGACTCTTCTCTTAATATCTGTAGCTCATTTATATTTTATAGTGACTGTGAAGGAGTTTTCCACCCAGCTCCAGCAAAAACATAACACCCATTTGCGATAAAAAATGAATAGTTTGATATCATTGTGACTTTGCACTACATATGTGTAACATCTTTGCACATGCCCATCTTCTGTAATGCAAAGAAAGATGAAACAGAGTATGCTTTGGCATCCTTGTGCTTCAAATACCTATGCTTATTATACTGTGCTCTTCCTAACAGAACATATGCATCTATCTTTTAGGAACTCCTTTCAATCCTGCCCAGGCAGGCTGCAATTTTGAGGAAGATCTGTGTAATTTTTACCAGGATCACAAAGACGTCCCAGGATGGAGCAGAGTGAAAGTGAAGCGTAATGTGTATAGAGCAGGAGATCACACTACCGGGTTTGGTAAATCAAAACTCCTTTTCACTAGACGAGTCAAACTGGATATAAAGGTTAACCTGTTGTATCATTGTTCACTCTGTTAAATAATGTCATTGGCACAATGGTTAGATTGCCACACTGCAGCTCCCTGCCATTAAAAATCAGTGTACACTGCTCTGTCCTAGCTGGGACTCTGGCTGTGCCTCCCCACATGTAAAAGGGGAAGGTCACCTATTAACTACTCACACAGGGCTGTAAATCAGAGTATCTTCACTATACTGATTTGTACTCACTGAAAGGATGATTCCACAAAAATATGCAAGCAAATATAATAGTAGCTTAATGCATTGCTTTTAATATAGAGGGATGGTGGGCTTTTAGCTCTTCCATGCTTAGCATAGTTGGCATTTTTAAGGAAAAACTGTGAAATGTTGTGTAGTGAAACCATACAGTAAAAGGCCTGCTAATAAGTTCTGAAACTCACACATCTCTGTGTATTCATGGTTCTTAATCATATGTGCTAAAGTCTCACCTCTTTATACCTGGTGCAGGGAATAATAGGCCTTGTGCCCCATCCTTCATTCTTTGGTCTTGTAGTGGTTCCCTTGAAACAGCCAGGTTTCCAGAGAGGCCAGCAAGCCAGACAATTTGTCAGTGTAAATTTGAAAAGTGCTTATTTCTGGTAACTTAGCCGTGTGCCAGTTTAGCTTGAGGTGTGCGATAATCTGTTTCCCACCGGTAGAAACTGTTTTTATAACCAAAGTCTGATACCATAACGGAAGCTGCTTTAATAGCAAATCAGCTGTGCTAATTGCATATTAGAAATACTCAATAACTGTGCTGTCTTGCAGGTTATTTCTTGTTGGCGAACACAAAGTTTACATCACAGCCTGGGTATATTGGACGTCTGTATGGCCCGACCCTGCCAGGAAACTTGCAGTTTTGTCTGCGTTTTTATTATGCTTTATATGGGTTTTTCAAAATGAGTGGTACTCTTGCTGTTTATATCTTTGAGGAGAACCATGTCGTTCAAGAGAAAATCTGGTCCGTCTTGGACTCTCCAAAGGGAGTTTGGACTCAAGCTGAAATCTCCTTCAAAAAGCCTATGCCTTGCAAGGTAAGAGCCAGCTCTTCAAATCTGCTGAATTCTGGATGGAGATTTTCCTTGCCTTCTCCTTCCAGGGTTCTTTGTTATTAATCCAGGGATTAATTCTAAGTGAGCTATACCTGCAAAGTGAAATAGAGTTCCCCAGGCAGTACAGTGGGGAGCAGAGTATTTCTTTGCAGCCGGCACCCCAATAAAGGGGCTTCATATCAGGAACAGGGCGGTGTTGCCCTGGTGTCCTCAACTGTAGTCACAGTATTTGTGGAGATTTCACTTGAGGAGCTCTAACGAGAGCCAGTTGTGTCTTGGTTTCTCAGGAGGCTCCATGTTCACTCATTTTTGTTTGGTTGGTTTTTTTGTTTCCTATGTGATTCGCATCACTGTACTCCATTACAGATTTAAATTAATCTGAAAAGTCAGTACTGGGAAGTTTTGGTCAAAATGAGAAGCTGATCCTGCTTTCCTAAACTCAACCACTGGGTTAAAATATGAAACCAGAAGTGAGTGTAGTTTAGAGCAACGGACTTAAAAGTATTTGCAGCATCTGGTTGGAGAGGTCACTTTGTTTTCTCAGCAAGTTAATAAGAGTAACATAATATTTCACATCACCTCCTGAGTAAATCCTCAAGCTGCTGTTCTTCCTCACCTCCATGTTTTTTTACAAAGATTGACTTTTACACAAATTTGCGTAGGTGCTACTTCTGCAGTTACCCTGATTTCTGTAATGGGTTTTCACTATCTGTGAGTCATCTAAGGACAACCAGGTGGATTACTACCTGATGACACTGAGATAAATCCAGCTTTTTTTCACAGTGTGATAGTACTATGAGCATATGAATGAAAGCTTGTCTTGTAACTCAGGTATTTCTAAATTACAGAAAAACATCTTAAGCATCTTCCCCACTACAAAGTAATTTTTGAAATTGCAGTAGTTACTGAGTTTAACTCTTCTTGGAGAAAAAAAAAAGTGTTTTTCTTCGAAGTAAATACACTGTAAAAGAAAAAGTTCACCAAAAAAAAGTTGCCTGTGTTAAAAGGGAAATTTACACTGAAAATTTTGGTCCTAATTGTTGGCTAGTGTTTTCTCTCAGATATATGATACCTTAAATAATTTATGTGATTTTTATGTACATATTTTATGCATAAAATGTAATAGAATTTTGAATTCCATTTTAACTGATATAGAAAAAAAAAAGAATTTTATTACTGCCTAGCAAGTGCATGATAGAAAAGTCTGTCACAGAATCATCCCAAAATATCTGCAGAAAAGTATTCTCTTTTTTTTTAAATCACGAAAAGGTATTGGTTAAAAACGCAAGCTTCTAACATACTTTTGCCATCTCCTGTTTATGTATTTCTTTCTTACTGCTAAAAAGATTCAGTAGTTTGTGTAGCGTAATACACTGTATGAGTACTGATGACAGCTGAGCATGACTGTTAGAAATGGTTTATAGCCTTGGAGGTGGCAGGTTTTTTAGCATCTGACATTTACATGGAAAATCTTTTCCAATATAAATTTATGAAGAACTATTTTTATGTTTTCCTAGAAATTAATATATCAAAAACACTTGTGAAGAAGCTTGCCTGGGATGGAAAGCTTTTTGTGAATTGCAGCTTTCATGTCTGTAGTTACCAGTCTGTCTGTAGGCAGTTAACAGATGAGGACAGCAGCACAGAGGAGAATAAAGAAGTCCAGGGAATATCCTTGCTGCTTCTGAGCCTGAAGGTCTGCAGGAGGGAAGAAACCCTGTGCTCTACAGCAGGAGGGTTTGTTGGCCTCTGGCAATTCTTAAAAACCTTCAGAAGGTCCTTCAGGTCTTGTGATGGGAAAGCCTTCTTTCCCACGGAAACAAGTTGCAAAATGTTTCTGTGGAGAAGGCATTCCTCAAATATCACAAAAAGTGAGATTTGTTGGGCTTTAGAGAACTCAGTATGTGTTCAGCACATCATACTTCAGACATCCCTTAGCCAAGTAAGTATGTATTGGCGGG